TATGTATATGTATAGATTAGTTTTAAAGAAAGACCTATCTATTGATTGATAACTATGCTGTGTCTGTAATAATTGACTAAGTTCTTGAGTAGCACCCTTTTATGAAAATAAAGTTACATGAAAATAAACTCTCTAAGATATTACTGAAATAATGAATTTAAGCTAAATTTACTACTAATAGTAAATTCTAGATTATGTTTATTAATTATTATTTTAAAGTATTGAGTTGGCAAATAAGTCCTTAAGGTGTTTCAGAGTGAAAAAAACAAACTCACTGTATTATAGACATAAACTTTATTTTAATCAGCAATTGACCATTATTTAATATGACTTTTCTCCATCTTTCCACTAACTGCATAATGCCGTATTCATAGAATGTCTGAAGTTTATTGTTAATAAACTAATCCAAATGATTTTGTATGCCCTCTTCCTTTTGGAATTTCTTTCCATTCATGGAGTTCTACAGAGACCGGAATAAGTGGTAGTCAGTTGGGGCTAGATCTGGTGAATAAGGAGAGTGATCAAAAAAGTCCCATCCAAGGCTCAATAATTTATTGCGAGTGACCAATAGGCCTAGCGTTGTCTTGGTGGAACACAACACCCTTCTAATCATTCATAACTCTTCAGGATATTCTCAAAATTTGATGTTACTATATCCGATCGAAAGCTGAATTAATGATTTTCAAACTGGTATGAATGTAGTTTTTTTTTATTAATCGCTACACAAGGAATAAATAAACAAAAACTCTTTATAGGTTTTTATTTTATATTTCAATTTGTAGTTTGTTTACGAAGGTCCTGATGATGTCATTTTGTGACCCAAATTCCTGCTAAATTTTTTGTAGATAGGTAAAATCGTATCGAAGTTATAACAGTTTTTGTGATTTTCGAAAAAAAAATCATGTGAAGGACCCAAACATTAAGCCTGGAAACATAGTTGAGCTTGTGCTAATGGTTTTCTACGCTTGTGTACGACACATTTAGGGCCATAGCAATCTCTTGCACTGATTGGGTGGGATTTTGATCAACAATGGCCTTAATATTGCTCGTTTCAATTTCATTTGAGCAACTAGACCCGAATGAAATTGGCAAACCGATTTCGGCTTTTACATTTCGGTTAAAGCATCATCTCCATAAACACTGCAAATTGTTCTATGAGGACGCTTACCTTTTTTAAAATAATACAACAAAATATGTCGATAATGAATGATATTTTCTTCCTAATTCACAGTGCAATAGCAAACAAAATACTAAGCTAGTTTCAACAAGAGTTCATAGATATAGTTGTTAACATATTATAAACAGGATAAACAATCCACCTTAGGGATTAATTCATCAGATAAGAAGTGTATCATAGTGACATAAAAATAAACAGAAAAACATAAAGAACTTATTTGCCAACCCAATACAACATATATTTGTAATGTTATTTACATTAATTTTTCTGTAAAAATTGAAATATTTTTTTGTTTTGTTTCAGACGATTCGAATTTTGTGAAATATATAAGTTTTTTATATAGGCATCAAATGCCTCAATAATTGGCTAAATACATAATTTTAGAGCTACTCAATGCAGTAAGTATTATTCAACATTAGAATAAGTAATTCGAAAAGTTTGATAATTTGCTTATTTTATATTTATTGTTTGAGTCAAAGCAAACCATTGAACCCCTCTTATTTGTTAATTATCCTATCTCATTTATATGAGCTATTTAAAAACAGTTTTATAGCCACAAAATATATTATAGCTATTACGGTTTTCATCTCCAATCATTATAATGATTATGGCGAAAGGCATTGTCAGAAAAATATGTTTATGTACATCATAAAAATATCATACTGTTTAAAACAAAAAATGCACAGAAATATTAAAATCAATAAGTTTTCCACCACGAATTTAGAAAATGTTTTTTTGAAAATATAATCTTCTTTATTAGGTTATACATATAAAATGTTCACTATAAAAAACAATAATCAGCTATTGATTGTCTTTATAACGAATTTGTATTAAAATAAATAAAATTTAATAATATTTAACACACATTGATATTATTGTTGCCCAAAATCGGTCTTGGTCTGGCACTTTGCAAGACCAAGAAGACTAAGGCCGCCTTAAAAACAATCGATATTTTAAATAAAAATTAAGGCAAATTAGTTACTAATACTTGACAATCTTAGTTACTATATGTTAATAATGGGTATAAACAATATACTTTTGCATTTTACTCCTCTAATTTTTCATTCGGGCTTAGTTAGGTTTCTCCTATCTAAAAAATTACAGTAATATCTCTATAGTAATAAGCTAATAAGTAACTGCAAGACTGTTGCGAGACTTTTGTGCAAGACCAAGACTGAGTTTGTAAGACCAAAACTCGTCTCGGTCTCCCATTTGGGCAAAACTAATTGTTATATCTGGACTAATCGGCAATAAGTGTAAGGAGATACAATATTACTAAGAAATCACACTTCAAATAAACAAATTACCCAATTTTAACTTGACTTAAAATATTTATTAGTAGAACTTCTTAAAAATTAAACAAAAACGACCAGAAATAAAAAAAAAACAATAATTAATTAAGTGAAATTTCCATATGTTTAGCAGTTAGTTTTCTCTTTAAAACTTAAGAGTCAAAATAAATACATTTGCTAGCTTATAGCTTATTAATACCTAAAATAAAATAGATACATAAAAACATGTGAATGGTGGGTATTTATTTTTCAAGAACCTTCTAAATTCAACATTTAAATACTCTCATTATTAAAGTGATCACATTTTGGCTTAAATAAAAATGTATACATTATAATAAAAAATGAAAAATTTAAACTGAGATAATCATTTATATAAAATTAATCCAGAATATACCGACAGACCACTACACTACAAAAGCAAGCAAGAGCTAAAACAAAAATATTCAAAATACAAAAAACAAACGAGTATTTACTGTAATTTGAGTTATATTTTATATTCATTTTTACAGTATACATATAACAAACATGAAACATTGTTATTAATTTTTTTAGTTTATATTTTTGAATATACAAGCCTAGATTGACTAGAAAATGTCGAATCCGCACTTACAAATCACATTGTTCTTACTGGTTTTTGTAGCGTGGCTGTCTACAAACAGTATTAATTATCATACAAAGTTAATTTGATTAAAATTAGTTAATTATTTTAATTAAATAAAATAGAGACACTTGAGAAGCATCAAATTAAAACAAATAATACTAATAACTAAATAAATTTTAATTAATTCGAATTATAAAAATTAGATATCAATAAAAAGTAAATCATGTAATAAAATTAACTTTGAGCATTATGTATGATGATCATCTTTAGACTAATATGTATGTCTGAACTATTGGGTGCTAAAATAAAACCTTTTTAAACCTATAATCATACTGTATGAGCCTGGTTCATGAACAAGCAATATAAATATATAACCTTACTAATAGTTAATAAAAAAATGAAAACATTTCACTAATTTCGGCTTTCCTCTCATTACTAAACACAATAGAATGATTAACACAAAAATCAAATTGGCGGTACCTCTAAAAGCAACACAATATTAATAATGTTAATAATATATTAATATAATAAATAGTATATGTAATTAATATAACATTAAAATAATTAAAGATTACAAATTACAGATGTGGATTAAAAAAAGTACTATATTTTTCTTACCCACATTTGAATGACAAATTATTTAATTAATTATTTTCTTTTTCATTCCAGGATTCTCATAATGACTGTAAGGGATTCTATAAAAATAGTTGTAGGACAAAATAAAAACATAATGACGTCAGACATTAAAATAAAACATAAGGCTTTAGAGAAACATTCTCTATTTAAGCATATGCATCTGGAAATGTTTATAGTGAATCGATAAATAAATAAACGTAATAAGTTAAACTGATTGAATGATAAAGCGTAGGATATAAGTTTTCAAACAAATGATATTGTTATAATTTAAAATTTAACAGATTTGTAACTTCTACTATATTAATTTCTTTCTTAACAAATGCGCTTCTGAAATTCAAACTTTGTAATCAGTAACTAAATAATAAAACTTGCCGGTAACATTTCAACTGGTAAAATTCTTTCTTGTACCTATTAGAAAAAAAATCTAAATATATTTCATAATTAAAGGCGTTTAAATATTTACAGAAAATAACAAACTAAAGTTAAATAGTAAACATTATTTTTAGGTAATTATACTAAAACATCTAAAACATATAACATTTCAATAACAATTTCAAAAAAAAAAAATATCAAGATTTTATAAAAATAACACATTAAATGAAATAAATATTAAAGAACTTCACGGTTATTTAGGTTATTCTAATAAGATTTTCAAGATTTGATAATTAGGATTTTTTTATTATACATTATTATGCTTGTATATTTTAATTAAAATAGTGTTTTTAAAGTATAAAGTATTAAGTATTAAGATTAAGGAGTGTTGACTTAAATATTTTTACATTTCAAAATGAAAAAAAGATTATTTGATTGAAAAATATATATGTATATATTTTTATAATTTATTATCTTAGTAACATAGAAACAGATATTGAATCGGTTAATAATTTGTTTTATTTATTATACAATCGATTTCCTTGTATAAGTTATTATTAATTTGCAATCGATTTTGTAATTTTTCCTGTTAAACGATAATTACAGAAAGTGCGGTAAAAATATAAATTATAAAAATCATATTATACAATCTAACTAATTATTATTCAGATTACATTAGACGATGTAATGCATTTAATATAGATGTTTAGATTGATTTTAGTTAATTAATATACGTTCAGCTATAAACCTAATAATTAAAATCGGTATTTGATAATTAGTAGCATATAATTAATTAATACTGCGGTGTTATATATACAAATTCACAGAAGTAGAGTAAATTATAATTGCCAGGGAGAAAAAAAAAAGTAGAAATAAACATAAATAAATTAAATTAAAAAAAAAAAACAAATAAATAACTTACAAACAGTTTACACACAGTGAGTCCACAGTATACTGATTGTGGCGGGAAGGATCAGCTGATGTCCAGGGCGAAGGGAGAGTGAAAAGGAGGCAGCGGTGGGCGTGGTCGGGCGTGGGCGGGGCGTAATAACCCCGCCCACGCGCAGGCGCAGGTGGTGGGGGCGCGACACGGCTGCAGACAGCTAAGCCGCGCCGCTCGGCAGACACCCGCCGGATTCCGATAACGCCAGTTGTCCTCAGTCCTCCGCCAAGTCCTGCAGCACCCCATCATCTTCTGGTACTTCTGCAAGGTCCACGATGAAGGAGGAGTTGCGCCGGTTCGTGTACGTATACTGAATGTATCCTGAGTGAGTAGCCATCCGGTATACCTTCAGTATACGTAACAAGAGCCGGTACCTTTCTTCGGTTACATGGATCTTCTGTTTCTTCATTCTTCGATAAGAAGGTACTTCTGTCAGTAGAGCTGTCATGATTTTCAATGGTCTTGAGGCAAGTGTTGTATATGTTTGACAGTCTTATCAGTGATCGAAGATGATGTTTGTTTAAGGTGTTTTAAATATAATATTATTAATAATTCTTAATATATTATTATCTGTAATATTATTATGTACTGCAACTTACAAAGTTGTGTAAAATGAAATATGATGTTTTTTTTTGTAAATCGTTACCCATTAGGCAAGCAACATAAAACTGTCTGTGAAGTAAATATATGTTAAGATATTTCAATTTAGTTATACAAAAAGAAACATAACAACTATTTTGGATGCATGTTTTATTTATGCTCTTATATTGTTCAAATATCCATACTTGTACTTATATCAAATGACTAGTAAAACAGCATTGTATTAAGTTATTCTGAATAATTTCAAAGTGTTAAGAATTCAAATGTAACAATATGATTTTTTTTTGTAATAACAAAGGAATTGTAAGTATATATTGTAAATTACTTAAGTATGTTAAGGCTTAAAATATGTATACTATGTAATTGCTTAAACAGTGTGGCTTTCTTACATATTTAATTTATTTGAAAATGTATGTCAAGTGTCAATTCAAAGACATTTTAGTTTAACTTTTCTTCAAATGAACTTTTAATTTCTTATTGGTAAATTTATGCCTTCAAAGAAAGAAAGAAAAAAAAGGCAAATTCTGTGATTGAATTTTAAGCATATCAATAAGAAAAGCGAATAATAAATAAAAAATGAAATTGAACCCTATGAAGACTCCATACTCCCCTCTCAATGGGTTTGCAACCTTTCCCACCCTTCTGACCAATGGCTATCCTTGTTGCATCCCCAGATTGTACCTAAAACTTCAGCCCTTGCTTTCACTCCTTTGTTCCCTAGGCCAATGAAAAACTTTCTAAAAGGCCCTTAAAAGCTAACCTCAGTACAGTGTGAGCTTACTAACCGAACTCACTATCCCTGCTTGGTAAGTACTTGCATGCTTGAAATTAAAAATTGAGGTTAAAGAAACTTATTAAAAAAATCATTATTCTATAACCACTCATCTGCATATTAATTCAGGACATACCATAAGTTAATTAATAATACACAATATTAATAATAAATTAAATACCGAATTGCATTGTGCATGTACATGAAATAACACAATAACTACAACTCTCGTACAATATTCCTTCAAAATTTCAAGTTTTTTAAACACTGACCATACTTAATTCTCGAATAATTTTAAGACTCTTACTAAGCATCATGTTTTTCAGTACCCGTTTTAATTACATAATAACCACTTTCAGATGACCTCCACAAAAGTAAACGGATAAACCTGATGTAAACACTAAATTAACTAGAATTGCAATTTTATGTAGCGAAAATCCTTGATATTTAACTATCATATGTAAATTTTTGACGCCTCAGTTTGGAGGTGCCATCTTGCGGAGATGTGCTCAATTAATAAGAGACCAGGGGTATTGGAAGACCTGAAACTCTATAGAAGTTTTTATTTAATTACTGCCACCTTTCTTATAAATGCAATAATTTGTTTTACAGTAATTAATTAACTAATTAAAGAGAGCTAGTTATTAACATTTAAAAAATATAGTTCATTAAAAATTAAGTTTATTTTAAAAATTAAGTTAAAATATAGTTGATTAAAATAATCCAAGGACAACAAATTATTAATTTTTAATTCTTGAAGCCTATGTATGATTACTAATTTACTGCTGTGTCGAAATTTGAATTTAAAGATTAAAATTAAAATACATCAGAAATTTAGATTTATTTTGTAGATTTAATAAATTCTTTCATGTTTTTTTTGCTGTTAATTGCTCTTTTTTCATTGTTATTATTCAACATATAAAACAAGGAATATGATCTATAAAAAGGAAATTAATGTAGTATATTTAGAAGAAAGAAAATAAAATATTCACAAAGTCATACTTAATATTTTCTATGAATTTTGGGCGATTCGATTTAAAGAAAATAATTTTTAACTGTACTGTATTGGTTAGATAATTATTTATCTTCATGTATAGTTTTGACTAACAAATAATTACTTACTTATATTCCAATAAAGTTTTGGCTATAAAATAATTAGTTAACCGAAAGCCATTTTATTTTTATATGTTTGAGTAAGCCTCAAAGTTAACACATATCTTTCAACTCAATGATAAATCATTTATTTTTTTATTTTAACTAATAATATTATATTCAAATTTTCCCACATATATGCAATAATGATATATTCATGTAATAACGAAATTTTAAACAGGCAACGGTATTGCTTAAATAAGTTTATATCAATAAGGAGTAAGAAAAAACTTTAATACTTTCATATGAATCTATTAAAATAAAATATTAGAGTATATGTATCAATTTATTGCAAAGTAAATACATTATAATTTCGATTTGAAATCAAGAAGTATTTTTTGGAGGACCAATTCTGCAATTGATATATATATATATATATATATATATATATATATATATATATATATATATATATATATATATATATAAACTGGTATTTCAAAAATGTTAGTAAATTTCAGTTCTTTCTAAATCAGGTTATTATGTATTTGATACTATTTGAATCATGTATAGTTGATCATTCAGTTTACCATATGAATCAAGAACATAAACTTTATGGTCGTTTCAATTTGACCTTCTAAAGAGCCTTGGGAGTGTAGACATGGTCAGGTGTTTCAGGAGATTGAAGTTAATACTTCATAAAAAAAATATTGAGGATTTACTGATTCCTAGAATGAGCAAGGGTTGAAATCAAAAGGGAAAAATATAAATGTAAATTTGTAATAGAAGAATTGGTGTGTTTACTAACGACAATGAGTAACAATATAAAATTTGCAAATATTAAAGGTCACATCAATATTAAAATAATTTAGTACGTCATTTTTAAAATCTTTGTATTAATGATTGGTCTATAACCATTGGTCTTAAATTATAACTATATACAAACTTCACTATTTCTCACTGATATTGATTTATTTTTGTTTAATGTCTTTTAAGGTTTAAGAGCAAGCAGTTTTGATGCATTGATATATGTATTAATAAATTCTAGAATATTCCTGCCAATTTGTATCGTGGAAAAAAATCTAATTCAGTTCTATTCAATCATTATTGAAAGTAAGTTTTCCACTATTTTGTTGGGAACACGTGGCGCCACATTGCGGTAAACTCTGGAACTTTTTGAAGCAGGTCACGTGGTTTGAAGACCGCTAAATATGAAAAGTTTCTTAGTGACTTTTATTTTTGCTTATTTTATGTTTGTGTATTTTCGGACAAGTATTAATTTTTTCCGTTTTTCGTTCTGAAGCGTCATTTTTTTTTCTCTTTCTTTCGTTAAATTGAATATATTTAACTCTTAAAAAAAAAAAAGAATTAATAAAAGGAATCCATATTTTTATAAATATTGATGTTTTACACAGATATTATTTTTTTAAATGTATTCATTACAAAGTATCCTTCGTGACAAAGGTAATAAACAATCACATTAAACAAACTAAGATCTCAGCAACTGTGAGGGAAGGATTCTCAAACTACCAATAAATAGTTTTTATTACAGATAACGTTTACAAAAAACAAAGCTACAGAGCATGAAACAACCCTAAAAGCCGCCATAAAAACCCGGGTAACTTTTCAATAAGCCCCTGACCACTTAGACATAAAGTGTAAGAGTCATAAAAAAGACAATAAAATCTTTCCTTTCCCCGGCCGACCAGAAGTCATATAATGACCACTAATGAGAAGTCTATGTGTCAGTGTAATTTACGAGGGGCATATAATTATGGCGCACTCGTAAAAGCTGTGATAAAACCTTACTCTGCTGACATTGTAGTTTTCTATACTTTCGTATTTTTACATTCAAGAAATATATATTATTATGTTCGCACGGCACCTAAATATACTGTAAAAATATCTTTATTAACTTTATCAAAATATTAAAAAAATAATGTTTCATAAAGTGTATTTTATATATCTCAACTCATCTGCATAAAGAATTACCACATAATAGCATATTTTTTTTTTATAATTTATATTTTTTTAAGAGTTACTTAGAATGCTGAAATAGATACACGCTTACGATGTTCGATATTTTACCATCGATAATATCTACTTGCATTTTATCGACTACCGATATCGTCAGTTCAATATTTTAATATTTTAAATAAAAATAAAAATTAAAACTACCGTTTTGGGAATGCGATGGGAATTATATATGAATTTGATCATTAGAAAAAAATATATTCTCATCTTGCATGTTTCATATAGGATGTAGTAATTAGTAGAGGAATATATCGATATTCCGATAATATCGACTATCAATGACCATACCTAAGTATAGTTGAACAGCGAGCATGGGACCATTCTCACTAGTATTGCCCAAATGCTAAGTCGAGACGAGTCTTGGTTTTGCAAACTCAGTCATACCAATTATTAACATATAGCAACTAAGATTGACAAGTATTAGTTACTATTTCGTTTTAATTATTATTCAAGAAATCGATTTTTTTTTTACCAATCCCTGGTCTTTGTCTTGCAACAGTAAGGCGGCTAAGTGCAAGACCAAGACCGATTTTCGGCAACACTAATCCTCACTCATTAAACTCAATTTGCTGGAATTCGTCTGTTAGAACCTTCACAAACCCAGACCAGGAATTGTCACAGAAGTCTATGTAGGATGTATATAAATTAGCATTTCTCTGAATCCAATCTATGGGTGAAAGGAAGGCATAATTCGTTGAATTAAAATTTCTGAGAAAAAAGCTAAGTATGACGAATATAGACAGGAACTCAA